AAAGCTTGCAGATGTAACCAGTCATTCAGAGTGATTTGATGTGAATTGTACTGTCCTCGAGTCAGAACTGTTCTCAGTGGTGGTGATGGAAACATCTGAAGAGTTTAATGCCTCTAAAATCTCCTTCGCAGAGTCATTCCATGTATATGCTGCCTGATGCCAGAGACATTGTTTTATAATAGTTTTGACCATAAGTGTATTTGTTTTATCTGTTAATATCAGAGTGTTACATGCAGGGCATTATACGTAGAGGTTGGGTGATACGGCAAAAATATATCATGATACCTAAAGAAAATATGTCACAATATTTACTTTTTCTGACATCTGATAATCTGGAACAGAGAAAGAACGAACCTACACTAAGAAAACTATACTATCAAAATTAGGAATGCAATGATTTGTGTTGTAGAGAACATACCCAGAATATACTCAGAAAAGGTTTTGTGATGTACATGATCACAATAACCATAAATAGGGTCATGGTGCTTAAAAATAAAAGGTAACTTCATTTTGGATAGTAAAATAAAAATAAAACATTTGGATAGTAAATAAAAAAATTAAATAGGTATATTTGTGTTGTAGATGTTGTAACCCCTGGTCCGTCTCATCACCACTGTAAAGTAACCAGAGTAGCTTTCCTAGAATGAACCATTTCACATCAAACCACTCTGAATGACTTTCCTGACCTCAATGATTGAATAATGCTTAAATTGTGGAAAGTTGCTGGAATTCCCCTTGAAGGCTCTTCAATAAGGCCAGGCTAGAAAAACATGAAGCTCTGACGCAACCAGAATTGCAAAGTGCTTTATTGTTTTGAGCGATGCTTCTGAAATGGAGTGTAGTATACTGGTTAACATCATATACCATGAGCCAGCCTCTTCTTCTGGACTTCCACAACCACGGAGCATACGCACACGCACGCACACATACACGGGCATGATGAAGACATCCATCCATCCATTCATCCATCCATCCATCCATCCATCTCTACGTAAACAGGACACGTTCGCCGCGTTTAGAGCCTAAATGTTAAAAAAATGAACATTAAACTCAAAAGCACAACACAGTTTCCAAAAAAGCTTGTGATGGACTTCCCAATTTGATGAACGGTGGGGAGAGCTGGGGCTTTTTGGCAAAAAAAGTAAATGAAGAGCAAAGAGAGGTTGTTTTTTGTTTTTAAAGGCAGGTGATGAAGGTGTGTAGCACAATCACCCCCAGCAACAGAGCGGCTTTAAAGCAGATGGGTTTTTCCTCCTTATAAATGTGAAGACTGTTGTGGTTGGATTGGATGTTTTTCCCTCTTCTTCTTTTTTCCCCAAAAAATGCACACATGAAGAAAACAAAAACGATGATTAGACCACTGCGCGAGCGTTGTAAAAATAAAATAAAAAAATAACAGCAAAGGAAGGATTCTAACACAGATTAGAGATAATAATACTGAGATTAAACTGGTTTAGGAGACTGTTAACATGATGACCAGCTCAAAAGAGTCTCTCCTCCCCGTGGCCATGCACACTCACCACTGCTGGACTGCGGGTCTCTTTCCACTGTGGACTCCAACTGCTAATGACAGCAATAGCATATTACACAGAAAAACAATGAAAACAATGATTTTTTTTCTTCTTTTTTTCTCAACCATCCTAATATTAGAAAATAACCTCTGAAAAAAACAAAGATTAAAAAATACAAAATTAAATAATTTGGAGTAAAAAGGCACAACTCTTGCACAGTGTATACATTGCTGACACAGTATAAAGCAGGTTTAGGACAGTCTGAAATTACAGATTTTTTTTTTCCTCTGTTTTGCAGGGGTGGCTATTCAGGACTCAACCAGGCTGGACAGGGCAAACAAATGCAAACATGCATGTTTTTTTTCTTTCTTTCTTTCTTACAGTACATATGAGTACAATTTTAAAAACGGAAACATTCTTCATTTATCACTTTCCACTCAATAGTGATGTGCTGCTTAAAAATTCAGACAATTCTGTGTACAGATGAATTAAAAAGCAAAGTAAAAATTGTGCATGTAATCAAAACAAAAAAACAAAAACAAACACACAAGGAGGCTTATTTCTGAATTAGAATTCATGTCATTAAGTCATATGTTACGTTCTAGATTGTGTTAGCTAGTTCCATCAATGCAGTTGACAAAACTCTTCTCACCTTGCACAGGTGTGGGGTTTCCCTTGTAAATACCACTTTGCAGAACCAATGGGATTATTTGAACATTTGGTTCATTAATGTGCAAAATATACAATACATTGCTGATTCTACTGCCAATTAAAAGAAAAAAAAAAAAACAGAAAAAGTTCACGAGACATACAAGACTTTTAAGGAAAACTGGCAAAAAAAAAAAATTCACAACACCACAGCACCCCGTTTCTCAAAATCCCCCCAACCCCCCTCCCCGCCCCCAGGAACACTGTAATATTACACGCATGAGTGCGTATCAATACGACGCGAGAGGTAAACTATGGGCCGCCTGTTGAAGACAAGCAAATGCGTGTGAACACGAAAACACAGGCTGCATTCAATAGTGCCTCATAGTGCTATTGTTGCAGTATGTAACAGACAAAAAAAAAGGATCCTACTTAAAAAGTGCAACAGTTTAAGGTGCTGATGGCAAACAAAAGGTCAATAAATTCTCTTTTAATGGTCGTCACGGATGACTGAAGAGATGCCACCAATGCTGTTGCTTCGGCTTCTTTTGCACTCCACGAAAAATCTCCTTTTAGATCTTTAAAAAAACAGCCCAAAAGAAAAAAAGACCACCACACGCATCCGAAACACTGTAGGAACATGCAAAACAGTCAGATGGGCTGCTCTGCTGTCAAATCAAATTCTGTGTGCTTCTTCGCCCTTCGTGAATGGAGCTCAAAAGACGCTTTTCTTTTTTTTGCAGTCAGAAGGTAGTCCGGAGAAAATGAGCGTGCGGTTTTTAGAGAGCGTGCTGAGGTGTCAAGTGCTGTAGCCCACTGCTCATTGGATACACATGCTGGAAAGCACTAGTAAAGCTGCTGGCTGCGACAGACGGAGCAAGCTGAGGCAGGACGAGGGACATGTGAAGAAATAGGTTCAGGTTTAGGTGAACAGGTTGGGGTTTTTGGATGAACAGATTCATTTAGGTTCAGGTAGGACAGAATGGATTTCAGGTTGCTGGATGAATAGGTGTAGATTCAGGTTCAGGGTAAACATGATAAGGTTCAGGTTCAGAAGGATGATTAGGTGCTTGGCGACTGGCTCGCATGGAAGACAGCTTCACAGTTCCTTTTTATTTACCGAAGTTCTTGAGTTCTACAAGCGGCCGAAAGCGCCCATCCATCTGCTTCTCCTAGGCTTGGCCTCTATTCTGAGTAACCTCCTTCAAGACGTGTTGTCCATTCGCCGTTTGCTGAGCCGCAATCCATTGCATTTTGCTCTCTCTTCCCCCTTTCATTTAAAAAAGGAAGGCAAAATAACAAAAGGGAAAAACACAAAACACAATGCCATGAAGGACATGCATCAGAAAGCAAAAAAAAAAACCAGACAAAATTATCCATATCTCCCCAAAAAGATTTATACTTGTTCTATTTCATCACCCTTATGGTCCCACAAAAGAACAAAAAAAAACAAAAAAAAACAAAGAAAAATGAAAAATGTAAACGAATGGTGGTTGTAGCTGCTGTAAGGGTGACCCCTGCCACGGAAGGAGTGAGCACATTTCAGCACCCCTCCCTTAGCATCCCTCTTTGACCCCATGGACTCTGCTTGGCTCTGCCCCAGGTTAGGGCAGGATGGTGGTGATGAAGTCGTAGAATCTCTTCGAGTACTGTTCCGGGTTCACGGTGGAAATCTCCGCCCCAGCCTAAAAACAAAGCAAGGAAAATAAAGAGTGCTGCTACTGAAACTGTAGAAAAAACGTGCATATCTTGGCTCAGTTACTTATAAAAACATGAATACAGAGGTGGTTTACTATAAGGGACTTTAACATCCGGAGTTCTTCAAGAAGTTGAAAGCTTTTTAAAGTTGACATGAGAATGATGTCCCTATTTAAAAGTTTCACTGTCATTGCATGGTATGGACAAACAACATCTAAGTAATATTGTGAAGGCCGCTGCTAAAGATATATATATATATATATATATATATATATATACACACACATACATATATTTAGTTGAAATAATAATCACAATACTAGTATTCTGACCAAATAGCTACCAGGGTTGCATGATATGGAGGCTAACTACAATGTAAATAACTCATTGCATGTTACAATGGCAACATGAGGTGCAATAAAACAAAGATTACAATGGACAGTTAACATCATTTTTAACATCATATAAAGTCAATCAATATCTGCGTACTAATTATGCCTTTAATTTCATTAAACAGGTAATAAAGAGCACCGCTGCAACAAAACAGTTAAATTCTGTACTCACTATTCTACAAATTGTGAAATAAAACAATCTAAATGCAAATTTAATATTTGTGCAAATAGTAAGGTGGAAACACTCCTTGAACGTCTTCATCTTTAAAAATAAAATCAAGTAATTTCCAGTTTTACTGTAAAATTTACCCACAAATATTAAGACCACATAGTCCAAAAGGTTGATAAATAACAGACGAGTTAAAAGGATCAATTTGGCTAACACTTACTCCATGCTTGACTGTCTTGGCTGCGTGAGCTGCTTTCTTCTTGGCATCATAATGTTGCAGAATGTCGATCACAGCCATGAAGTAGACCTCCTTCCTTGGGGAGTCTTTAAGAGAACAGAAACAGACCAATCAGAATGCAGGAGTTTCATCTGAACAAAGACAAAGAGAGTCCGTAGTTTAGTAAATTAACTCAAAACAAGTTCTGTATTGTAGGCTTCTTCAACACTAGTGGCATGCTGTTGTAGGTAGTGAGTAAATTTCCAGCTATTCCTCATTCAGGTACACTTTCACCCCACGTGGAAAAAAGCCTCCCAAATGCAAAGCTTGGAGTTCAGTGATGCGTGGATTATATATAATTAAGGTGTAAGGAAGGGATTTTCCAGGTGTCAGTATAAATATATTGCCTTCTAGTGCTTTGGTGTACACCAGCCACTACAGGTCAATAGGAAGAACAGCTCATGTGTTTCATGTAAATGTAAATAAACGCTTATTTGTACTGATATTATAAGGGAAGCTGGGAGTCATTGTGAGGACATTATTAACTAATAATAATACAAGATGCTGCAATCAAACAGAAGTTGGGGAGCACTGTTTTAAAGGGGAATTCCATGGTTTTTTGAAATTTATGAATAATTACATCTTTAAGACATAAAAAAGTCATTCAGGATGGTTTCAAGTGAAATGTTCCATTCTTACTGAGAACTGTTCATAGTGGTCCTAACAGGATCCAAACATCTGAAGAGTTTAATGCCTCTAAAAGCTCCCTCACAGAAAGTTATTAAATGAAATGCTTTTGAATAAGTTGCCTGATGCCTGAGACACTGTGTTATGACAGTTTTGCGGTAAGCTTCTGGCTTAAGAAATGTATTTTAAAATACAGTTGTGGTGGAGGGGCACATGCAGGGCGTTGTAAGACAAAATAGTACCTAAAGAAAACTTATCTTCAGATTTACTACTATTTTACCATCATCAACATTCCATATAAAAACTTAGAAGACACATGTAGGTTCATCGGTGGTTTCAGATGGTAGATAAAATGGCTATATTTGTGTCGCAGACACCGTGAACTCTGGTTCCTATTACCAGCGCTGTGAAAGAAACCTGAGTGCACAAGTTTTTGTCTACAATGAACTATTTCACATCAAACCATTGTGAAAGACTTTGTTTCAATCTCAATAATTGAACTACACAGAGGTTTTGAAAAATCAGTGGAAGTTTTAGGCAATAGAATAAATAGATTAATACATGTTTACAGAAATGCATTTCTGCAGGGCCTAAAATTTGTGGAACACCATAAAAATGATCAAATACCACTAAAGTGACTTTGGAAAATGGTCATGTAAAAATGAATTCTGACTATTTTTGGTATACAAAGCCATACAAAACGTCACAGGCAGATTTCAAGGGGAAAAAATGAAACACAAAAAAATGCGCAATATGAGACCTTTGAAAACCACATGCTTTTCCTTTAACTGAAGCACTATTAACTAAGTATGTTTATTATTATATGACAAAAAAACAAACAAAATGAAAATGAAAAATGGTTAAAATGTCCAACTCTACTTGTGTCTCATTCTCATGTTAACATTAGGCTGTGGCTACTGCTATTACTGCTATTCTTATGTGGTTACTGTTATCACATGACCTATATTGCATTATGTTTTGTGTAGCTGCATTTTCCTCTTTTCCTCCAATGTCGTATCCAGCATCCAGCATAGATGTTATGGGATCAGTGCCATCTCCCAGCACCTGACACAGGATACGCTTTGCACTCACTTTCATGGCTCTTAATAGCGTAGACGTCGATGGTGGGATCAAAGTCTCCAGGCGACAGGGGCTTGGTGCTGTCCAGAGTGTTACTGGGGCTGTCTGGGGGGGTTCCCACAATCCCTCCATCACTCTCTCCTTCATCATCTCCTTCATTATCCTCACTCTCTACCTCTTCCTGCTCTGCCCGCTCCACATCGTGAATCCCCACCAACAGACTGTAGTCCATCAGCTTCAGCAGGGCCAGGAACTACAGAGATAAGGAGACAGGACATTATTAACCACACACACACACACAGAGTATAACTAGTAACTGATAGAGAATATGATAGATTTCATTTACTTCTACATCCTTCCTCAGCTTGTCAAGGAAAATCTTCTTGTTTTCCTCATCAATGTATATTTTCTGGCCGTCATTGATGAAGTCATTGTCTTTGTATGTGGGCAGCTCCTTGGCCTGAAGAAAAAAGATAAAGGAAAAACATTCACTGCAATGTCCATCTGTTCTCACTCATCTGAGAATTATTAACTAATTCGGCTTTTGCACCACAAAATGATACACTGTAAATGCAGAAGTAAAGAAACAGCAACATTCACTTTTCATTTTCTTGGTCCAAGTGCTTAAAACAAGACTGCAGTGCAATGAGAGCATGGAAGTAATTTTCTTAAAAACCAAATAAATTTAATCACACACAAAGTGTAAATGGTTTTGAGTGCAGCAAAGAAGAGTGTTTAAAGGATATCACAGTTTTTATTTTTTCTAAACAGAAGCTATTCTGATTTAAAAATACAAACCAATGAATCTTTTGCACCTCTTACTAAATATAACACATCAAATTTCTCCTGATACTCTCAACTATTTACGCAGTATCTCCTGAGCCCATAGAGGGAGCTCTGGAGTCATAAAAGAGAATGAGGCTCTGCTAAAGAATGAGACTTCCTTACTAAGGCACATTCAAGGGATATAATGAGCAAAGAAACACCAGAAGTAATGAACTCCTGATCTCAGCAAGATTGAAAATTAAGCATGCTATTTTGAATGCACAAATACTCTTTATAAAAGGTATGCAAAACAAATGCATCCTTGGTAGATTTAGATAATTTTCTTCTCCTGATTTCACTTCTAACGCGTTTCCAGGGTTGAAGTGTAGCTCTTTCTACCTTCTGCAGACAACTACAATCTTCTAAGGTTGTTTGAAGACCTAAAATAGAACAAGAGGCTGCAACAAAAATGAAGGTACAGTACAAAATACAGTATACTGTAAATTATTATTATTATTATTATTATTATTATTATTACTGATGTTTTTGTTGATATTGGCAACAGCGGTATTTGTACTACTATTATCCAACTACTATTTACTACTGATCCTGTGGGTAAATTTTGGGTATTATTGTATTATATACAGATTTTCTTTTCAATGAAACACTGATTACAAAATAAAAACTGTAAATATGTTTGTATGAATAAACGTACTAGAATCATCAATCTTCTAAGCTGCTTATCTTTCTGGGTCTCGGAGTGTACAGGAATCAGAATAACATTTTTCCATGTCCTTGGAAATTATGTGCAGGTTTTACTGGAGAAATCTATTAAAGATGAACATACTAGCTCTCCTCATAACTGAAACAAGAACAAGCTTATTTGTAGAGACATACAGAGCGGATGAAGAAATTAGGTCATTGATAGCTGAAGATGGCTACAGCTGTGCGGCAGAGCAGCCGGTGTCCTTGAGGAAAGGCCATGAGCAGACATGCCAAACTCCCATCAGATAACAGCATCACAACAGACAGCCATCAGAAGATGTCATATTAAGAGTATATTAAAAGGCCATTACTGTCATATTAGTGCTACTCAGAGGGCCTGGCTCTGATTGCACTGGTCATGAGTTAACCTGCTGCATTTCTATTAGGAAACTAGTCACTGATAGTCCAATGAAAACTAACACATAAATAAATAAATAAATAACAAAATTCAGCTTTTTTTTAAACAATGGTTGTAAACACTGGTTGCTATTACAATACCACGATTTTTCATTTGCAAGACTACGTAAGCGTTTCAGCTATATACAAATATTAATAACACTATTATTTACAAGCTTAACTTGTTTTTATGTTTTTCAGCATAAGAGATGTAATTTCCTCTGTAAAACTATACCACATATATATATATATATATATATATACACACACACACACACACACGGATGGCCTGAGCTGCTGCATGCCTAAGTTCAAAACTGCCATCTTTGTTAGTGTCAAGCCTATTTTGCTCTGCACTACAGCCTACTCCCCATTTCTAATTGAACCGCACCACAGTGAACTGAAGTGTTTATGACGGACAGAAGAAACCATAATTGCTGGCAAAAACGTGTCGGAAACAAAGACACAAGCTAGACTCAAATAACGTCTTTCACTCAAATATCGACCACTGAAATGACCAATGTGTCCTTCTACAAGATACAGCCATTACCTTTTGACTGTATCCCAATAAGGTTTATGCTTGTCTAGTGACCACAAAGCACTTCTCTGTGAATTTGTACACATCAGGGCATCTGAGCTACATGTCTCTCCTCCTCCTCTCATTAAAATATTTCTCACTACTCATCTGTTAGGTAAATATCAGACGAATCAGCAGTGTAATAACAACTAGACACTCTCTCAATCTAAAAGAAAGCCAATATAGGCAAGATAACCTAGCTAGTTACATGCAGTAGCTAGCTAACTTTTTCATAACTGCTGTATACTTTGGCAGGTGTCCATATATCTTTGCGCATTTCTCCCCATGTTTTATCTGCCTTGTTCTTTAGCACCTAGTGCAATGCACAACTAGGGCACAAACGAACAAAATGTTCACTAAAATAAATGTTTAAACAACAAGTTTGGAGACATTTATTACATCCTAAAGGCCAATTCACACTTGCATTTGCCAGTGAATTTTCATGAGCGAACACTGATTACTTTTATTGGAATTCACTGCAATGGGCAATTTTGCGTCACAGACTTCTGGGGCAAAGAAATTTTATGTGCAAGCTCTGACATGAAAATTCTGCTCTACCAATAGTGCTACTGCTCTGGCTGTGACAAACTCTGAAGGAGTGGGCCTTCATAGCATAAACCTCCAAAACAGAGGAAACGCTAATGTAAACAGAGTTAAAGCACAAACTTATAAAACATTTTTTCATACTGGCTTATAATAAACACATGGAAGAGAGAACGCATATCAAGCAGTTAGTCAACTGTATTTGTACCTTTATTTCCAGGGTCTTAATGTTTGTTTTAGATAAGTTAGCTAGCTTGCTCAATGCGATGTTACCTCCACGGCTAACCACAGCTGTACACAAGTCACCTCACAGCCGGCTTCCACACCAATCACCTACACTTTTACCTACAGACCAGTTGTTGTATTGGGACATAATTATGTTCTCTTTTGTGTTTTTACTGTTTGTGATAGGAGAGCCTAATAGCCAGCCTAATAACTGTAATGTTCGCTTCCTGGCTAACCACAGCTGCACACAATTCACCCCAGTTATCTGTTTTTTGGTACAGTGCACAAGTGTACTTGTAAGAGTATTAGAAATGTTTAACATTTTATAGCTCCTAATATTTCTTTCAGGATTAATGAAGTTACTGTCAATGTATGGTGATTTATTTTTAAAAATGTGACTATGCAAATGTAATATCTGCAGGTCAGATCAACAGTATCAGCTCCTACACAAACAAAATCACAGCCTTTTTGTGTTGCACAAAATCTCTATAAAGCTTCTACAGTCTGCATCCACACAGCCAGACGCAGCTATTACAGGCACAACTTCAGACTCGTCTGAAAAACGCTGCGGCCTCTCTGCTACTCATCAAACGCGCGCCAGTTGACAAGCAGCTTAAATGACAGCCATCAGAGTGAATTCTCCTGCGGTGGCTGAAGAACAGAGCCTAATCCTCCTCGTGCCGCTGCTCTGACAGTGACGGTTCAAACGAGTGCCAAGCAGAAACAGCCACGTCCAAAGCCGCCTTTGGCAGCTGCTGTGAAAAACGGCAGTACGAGACATATGGCAGGTGAGAACAAATGCAGGACCTGTCAGAAACCAGGTGGAAACTGCTCAGGGAATGGAAAAAAACAAGGATAAAAGGAAAACATGGCAACTCAAGACTTCCAAATGAAGAGACCTAAACCAAATGGCTACAAATCTACTACGTACTAGTGCTGGCAAGGATCGTTATATTAGCCCTCTGAACTCTGAAAACATAGTGATAAAGATCAAATGTTAAATAAAAAAAGGAAAAGACTTTAGTTTACAAATTATTAAATAAGAACAATAAAACATGGAAGTTAAGTAGTTACGAGAGTAAGAAACTAATGTGTAGGCCCTTTTAAGGGCCTTCAGGGCTTAATAATCAAGTATTTTAATCATTTTAGACAGTTAATCAGGTAATTAGTTTTTTAAAAGATGTTTTAAAAAACTTTCTGTAATTTCTGTAGTTCCTTATGAACCACAGAGAGCCTTTAAAATAAAGACATAAAAAAACAAACAAACTGCATTTTCACTCACTGAGTTAGGACAAATACATGCAAATAAAAGAAAGCAGAAATGTATTTATTGAAGGAAAATCATGTGCCTTACAAAAACAAAAAAAAAGGTTCTACATTCTGACTGGTGCTATACCATGTTTAGAAGGCAATGCTGAGTTATGTCTGTTTATTTGAGCTCAAGCTGTCTGCCATCAGTTCAAAGCAACTAAATATCGACAGCCAGGAAGCAAGATTGCTAATCAGTCAGTCTGGTAACTTTGGAACAAAAAGAGTTGCATACAGTAAATACAAAAAATACAAACTGTTGATGATTGTTCTAGGTCTGTGGGACAATATGCGAAATTAAAAAAAAAAAAAAATCAGAAAACAGTGATTTGTAATCAAGATGCTTTATCAATTTCATTGTTTTTTTGAATATATACTCATTGTCTTTTTTCATTGATGCATGCAATATGTTCCAGGTGATGCAATCATGTTTCAGTATAAAGGAGCAACCAGGAGGGGCCTTGTCCTTTATGAGGATGGGTTGAGACTCACCACTTTGCCAAAAAATGTACTCACAGTCAGTGACTCATCTAGGAGCTCTGGAAGAGAAGAGCAGGGGTGGTGAACTGCAGTCCTATAGGGCCAGCACAGTTTGAGGACTTTTCTGCTCTGAACACACCCACTAAATCTGGCAATAAGGTCCTTAGTTGAATCAGATGTGTTTGAGTAGAAAAATCACCACATTATGCTGGACTCTGGCCCTCCAGGACTGGAGTTCGCCACCACTGGTCTGGAGTGTTTTTTTTCACAAGATTAGTCACACTGTAAATCAAAGCATGACTGGTTGGATCCTAATTATGTTCGTAGTTAATCTAACATGTCAACCCTGCAGTTCAGCTCCTGAAGTCCTAACCAATGAGAGAGCTTGGTCAGCTGTGTCTTCCTAAATACCACAGAGAAAAAAATTGATTGAATAATTTCCACTGGGCAGTTCAAGAATTGAATCCTTTTGTTTCCAACCAAAACTTGATGTATTACTGCAATACCTGCACAGTTTAAATACAATCAAGAAGATTAAAATGTAAATAAAAATAACACATGTACTACACAGAAATCATCAGCCCTCCTCTGAAGGCCTGGAAAGCCCTTAAGTTTCCTCTCTGGTATATAAACATGTTCTGGCCACAAATTCTTAATTTTGACCACAAGACTCATTTGCTTGGTTGCTTGAGTGACCAGAGCAAATTTTTATATCTATACATGCCTGCAATGTGCAAAACATAAACAACACAATAAACAATGTGGTAATTTGAAGCTGAACAGAGTCCATTTGTGCACATTTGTGAGTCTGTGTTTGTAAGAGAGTGCATTTTTCCTCTGATTGGCCTTGAGTAACAGTTATCACAGCACTGAAGGCTCTACACAGCTCTAAGAGAAGCTAAGGATAGGACAGGGATTAGACGGAGTCTGTGTGTGAGTGGGAGAATGACAGGATTAAAATAGGAGTCTGCTGACCTCATACCAACTCTAACCACCTGTGGCCTAAACCATTACACAACCTGCTAAGTTACAGCAGTGGCGCAAAGGGGGTAAAATGGCAACCCTATTCAGACCAATAGCTCAAACTATTAGAGAATTCTTTGTAATAAATCATGTAACCTTGCACTTTTCTAAGCATGTCATTGAACATTAAACAACTGTATGGATCACAAAAAAGGCACAAAAAATAAAAAAAATCTAAAAATATTTAGACCAATTACAAAGAGCCTGTAAACAACAACCAGCATATAGTAACTTCAAAAACTGTACTGCAACAATTAGCTGACTGAATGTCAGGCTATTATGCCATTATCTTATTTTATTAATTTATTTTTACCAATTGGCTATTTGCTAAATAATGACTCACTCAGCAATCGCAACCATCTTTAAGCACCACCTCCTCAGTGAGGAGAAAAACTCTCAGAATGAACTTACAGTGAGAACGGTGATGGCAGTAAATGTGTCAGAATTATTAGAGTAAGAAATAGTGGAAAGCGGTTACTGAGAAATGTATAATGCCTCACTCATGTTATGCTAATCACCTGGAGGGTGAAGCTGTTTTTAAAAAAAAAAAGTTTTGTATTTCACTCTCTGGAAGACCACACTGGTGTTTTTGCTAAAACTTTAATATCACAACATTTTAATACTAACATTTTAGCATCTTGCCTTTAATACTAACATTTTAGCATCTTGCCTTTAATACTAATATTTTAGCATCATGCCTAATGATTTTTTTATTTTTATTTCTATATAGGCCTATGAAAACAAATACATTTAGATTAGATATTTAGTGTATAACCCTACAAAAACAAATACATGCATAATTAATTCTAGAATATGCTCATTATGGAGGTTTGTTGTGACAGTAGCCATTACTGCTTTACACATTTAAGACAAAACTCTCACGTTAAGAATAGTAATCATGCTAATTCAGACATATGCTAACCTTATTACCTGGATAGAGGAGCTATTTTTGTTTTGTTCCTGGATTAAACTCCACACTAGTGCATTTGCTAACACTTTCATACCAGAACACTTTAATATGATGTTAAACGATATGTAATAGCAAACGTTACAGAACAAACAGTTTTCTAGCAACAGTGGATGGTAGGACTTGTTGGAATGTTGCAAACTTTTGGCAAGTTGAATAAAAGTTGAATAAAAAAATCATTGCACAGTTTTGTAAATGTTGCAATACTGATTTGCTGACGAATTTTGTTAGTTTCAACTTGGCCGCAAACCACTGTGATGCATATCGTGAAAATGACTTCAGGTATCCCAATGTTATATCTCATTATTACATCATTATATATTATATTAGGCTATAAAAATCACTGAAATGAAGAGTTTTTTTCCACTAAAAACATCTTTAGTTATTATCTAAGACGCATGCATCCTGTTTATCTACACCTAGAAGCATAATTCACCTTAACAGTAGGTCCTGGCAGCTTGAAATGTGTCAAAAACTCCTCGCATAGCACAAACGTGTGAAGCAATCTCATGAAACCATCTGGTGACTTGTTCCACCACCACCATGTTATCTGAGCACAGGAGAATATGCCAGCCTCACATCAGAAGCTTCTGCATATCCAGATTTTTTGACCCCAAACATGTTTGAGTCCCAGATAACTCCTGCACGATACGGACAGAATTGTGATTATATTGCTATCAACTGTGATGCACCTTCAAATACTTTAAAAATTATACTAGTGAATCAATAATATGACATGGTTAAAGATGAGTCTGCATTATTTTCACCAAAATTGACTTTTTGGATTGGACTACGTGAACAGTGATTCATCAAAACACCCACAGAAACTCATCCGGAGCTGTGATTGGTCAGGATGATGAATAAACAACACTGCTTGGTTAGAGAGCTCATTTACATATTGCAGCCTGCAATATCGGAATTGATAAACACAATAAACAAACAACATATTGCACGAACCTAACCTGCAAGACATCAGAATTTTAACAAATTGATAAAGAAAAGATTTTTACACATTGATAAAGAAAAGACATTGCTCACTAGGGTTGCATGATATGGGCACCAATGTGCTGCGTCATATCACAATGATGATATGAAAAGGGAAAGACATTCTCAAGAACATAAGCACTCCCTGAACAGCTTTTTCGACCCAGGCTGCAAAATTAATATCTATTTTTATTTTCTATTTAGGCCTATGAAAACAAATGAATATTTTTTGTGTGTAGGCCTACAAAATTAATAAGTATATATTTAATTCTATAAACAGGCTATTAGATAAGGATGTGTGTACTTTGTAATTGGCTTTGTAAGCTAGTTGTGAGATTTTTTTTTAGAATTACAACTTAATAACTTAGTAACTTTTAACTAATAACTAATATAACTAATTATAACTATTATAACTAATAACTAATATAAGTCTTTTGTTGCTCCTGCCTCAATTTTTCTGAAACGTGTTGCTGGCATCAACTTCAGAATGGGCATATATTTTTCAAAAAACAATAAAATTTCTCCGTTTAAACAGCTGATATGTTGCCTGTGTTGTCACGTGCTGGGCTTCTAACGCTATGTACCTGCTAATCTAATTCCATCACTATGAGGTAATTCGATCAGTTAGCCCTCAATGATTTACAATGCAGCCTCATCTGAGATCTACAAGCTCAGTTTAATAAGTGATTAATCATTCAAAAACTATAGCCCAGGTGTAATCAGTAATGTGACCAGTAAAAGCATAATAAAAAGCAAAAAAAGTGAAGACATTTTTTTAGCTCCTTGTAAATAACTCATCTTGACACCCTAAACACAATGGCATTTTAAAAGGAAGTTTGCCCAATCATTTGCGCCACTATTATTTCACAATAATGAATTGCAGGGCAGGAAACCACAAATTACTACAGCTTACTCACTGTCAAACAAACAACAGGTGCACTCCCAAGTGAAGCAAGACGACCCACAACTTGCCACACAGCTGCCATGATCAACACATAGCAACACCAGGAATCAAAGGCTGAATGTTTGGTCAACTCCTTTAGATTGCTGTAAAGGTACTGTTGAAGGTGGATTTTCACAATTTCTCCATAACTGAATGGTCCAGATGTAAACAAAGTAATTCAGAGTGGTTTGATGTGAAATAGTTCATTGTAGAGAAATTTACAGACTCTACTAAGCAAATACAGCCATTTAAAAAAAATAACATTTTCTTTGGATATATTTTGCCTTACAGTAGCCTGTATGTACCTCTCCACCATGAATCTGAAAATTACACTTTAGGCAGAAAAAAAAAATCTTAATAAATGTCCCAGGCATCAGGCAGTGTATTCATAACTATTTTTGTACTAATCTTCTGTGAAGAAGCTTTTAGAGGCAGACTCCTCAGACGTGGCTCTTATCACCACCAATTAGAACAATTCTGACTCAGTAAGTTTATCTAGAACAGTGCATTTCATATCAAATCACTCTCAAAGACTTTGTTTATCTTAACAACTTAATTATGCAGAAATTTAGAAACATTACTCTTCAAAACAAAGACAAACAAAAAAAAAAAATACTGGGACTTAACTAGTAAGTGTTTTAATCATAGTTAATAAGTTAATTACTTCAAATATTGACTTTTAAAATGGCAACTGCATCGTCATTTTCAGCAACCAGAACCAAATGCCTGACTGGCAGGCTTGGCAGCAATTTTTAAAAGTTAGTGTTGAGCACTGTTTAACAGCAATCCAAAATGACCACCCTTAAATATAGAACACCAAGCACGTAGCATGCAAATGATTTGTAGTCTATTTTAAAATAAGCATTACCTTCTCTTTGTCACTGGCCTCTCTAGCAACAGTAGATCCCTTAGGAGAAAAAGAAAAATGGAAAAAAGGACATGTCAGTATGGTGTCAGTTCATATTACAATCATCTGGCAATGGACCATGTAGCGACGCAGGAGGACGCTGTCTTACAGTTACTAACTTTACCTACCTTCAGGTCATACTTCTTGTACACAGACAAACGGTGACTGAAGACGTTGCGGGTAACGATCATGTAGGTTTCGTCTCCGTCGACAGTGATGCGGTACATACCCAGAAACTGAGGCAAAAGAGTGGTACCGTGACATTCCACAATAAACTGCAATAGAGAGACATGATGGAGGGAAAAATGCACGCATTAGAAAAAGAGCATTTCTAACTGGGGCACTAGGTCAGAGCTACTAAACACCTCAACTAAATATCTTCACTGACTGGGGTTCAACATTTGATCAAAACACTGATACTGTGAACGGTAAATTAAGCAGAAAGTACAAGTTAAAGAAACACCAAACTGCCTCACTTAGCATTCATATATCTTACCACAGAATGGCTAAAATATAAAATTAGATCAGTGCATGTAATGCAGTGGTTGTATAGCAGTATACTGATGCTCCTGGAACAAAATCTCATATCTCGAAAACTTGACAAGAGAAAGAAGAAGCACTGTTAACTTTTAACCCCTTAAATGGCCACATAAACGGAAAGAGCTCAAACTGCTCTGAAAGAGAAATGAGGTCTCTTGCATAACAGTGTCAAAGGGGAAAAAGTAAAATTAAAAAGTAAAAGTAAAATAAAATAAACAGAATGTCTTTATTTAAACTCACTCAAAAGTGAGTTTGATGGAAAAAGCTGTTCAGCAGCGAAAACCACATTTTTTTTTTTTTTTACACATTTTCATGCAAAACAGATCAAAAATAGACCAAGTTTTGTTCTGTCAGCATTGTTATATGTTTTTCAACTAGGCAGCAGCTCAGCTGTGATCTATCAAGTAAAAATCAAAACAGAAGCTCCCTAAAAAGTAGAGATTCACATCTGCCATTTACAATATTCAAAAGTTGTCTTGGAACACTCTCTGAATACAATTCTTATTTATTTATTACTTTCCCAAGCTAAAGTCATAATTTATTGTTTTGTATCCATCAGAAGTTTTAACAACCAGCAATAACAACCAGGTTTACTAACTGAATCTCAAAACTACCCCAGTCATTAACTGAAAACTTAAATAAGGCAAGTAAAAGTACTGAAACATTATTGGGACAAACATTAGTGTCTCTTTTATTTATGTAGGTCAGTAATTAGTATTTTATTTAGGTCAGCATTTTATTGCATATCCCTTCATTTGACAACTTGAAGTCTTAGTCATGGAGTGTATGAGTTTGTGCAACTGACATTTTGTAACGAAGAGAGATCTTGATTCAGATCATATTTGAAAATTCAACTTCATATTCCAGTTTTCTAAAGCTATGCCTTACAGAATGTTGATGAAATGGAGTGTGTTAGATGGTGGCTTTCCAGGTGCAGCGTTGGAGATTTCTGGTTTAAACATGTGCATTTGGATTAGTGTCCCAACATTTATTTTGAAGTAACAAGGGGAGTTAGTTCCAAGTTTTCTAGTTTGCCATCGTGTAGTTGGACACAAAGCATTGACTGATAAGTTGTAAAATAGCTGAAATTGTTGAGACTGCTTTTCAGCACTGTATACCTGAGCCTGTTTACACCTGGCCGTCTCATGCATCTTGAATATCAGGATTATTTCTGAGTACTTTATTATGAACTCTTAACTAATACTGGGTAGGGCCTCCCTTTGCTCTTAAAACAGTCTCAATTCTTTATGGAATGGATTCCACAAGATGTTGGAAATATTCCTTTGAGATTGGCCCAGGTCGATATGACTGCATCATGCAATTCCTGCAGATTTTTCAGGTGCACTTTTATGCTGCAAATCTCCCGTCCTACCACATCCCAAAGGTGTTCTATTGGATTCAGATAAGGTGACTGGGAAGGCCGCTGAAGAACATCCAACTCATTGTCATGCTCATGAAACCAATTTGAGACAACTTTTGCATTGTGACGCAGTGCGTTAGCATTTTGGAAGTAGCCATTAGAAGTTAGGTAAATTGTGGCCATGAAGAGATGCACATGGTCATAAACAATACTCAAATAGGCTGTAGCACTGAAATGATGAGTACAGGTGTAAACACTATCAAGACACATTTAAAACAGATTTGAATCTGATCGATTAAACAAAGCACTTCAGGAGGTGGAGATGCATTTCTACCAGATTTTAAATAAGTCTAGAAGTGCATCTGTTTCTCCAAGCCAAATTCAACAACCAAAACCTTTCCCAAAACGATTACTCTTCCCTCTGCTGTTCCGCATAAGAGACTGGACTGCCATCACTAAACAGAGGCAGAGGCATCGCTGCTTTTTCAGTTCAGCTCCCGATATGAGTTTCTCCTCTGAGTTTAATTCAATGGTCTTCAGCAACCCGCTTTTAAAAGGAAGCGGCAGTTTGGTTACATCTTTACTTCACCTCATCGTTATTGACCATCTCATTACAATACATAAAGTTTTAGTGGTCGTCCCTTACTTTGAAACTGCTTAGTTTTCCAGAATATGGGCCATTTAAAAAAAATCCTGATTGAAAACAAATTAAATCATGGTCAAATCTGAGATTTCACAATGTACTGAGATATATTCAAAAAATCGTAATCAAATGAAACAGGATTGAGGACAAGGATTTACACCAATAATCTGTAAGTGTATGTGTGCTGTATACCTGGTGATACTTTTTAAGGATGTTGTGCATCTCGGCCACGTCCTCGCTGCTGATGGTCTTGATGACGTACCTCTTGTCGTAGGAGGTGTGGAAGCGAGCGCCACTGCGGCCTTGAGCCTCGCTGACCAGGGGCGCACTGCGGGTCAGAGAGTTCTACATGCAGACAAATAGAAACAAAGAAGAAAAGCACACTTCATGAGATGACTGATCACCTGTATGCTACATTTTTTTAGTTTTTATTTATTTATTTATTTATTTTACACAAAACATTTGTGTGCTTGCTTTGTATTTAAAAATTCTGTCATAATTCAGTTTTATAAAGCCATTTTTCACTTTTTCCATTCTTCCCCTTATCTTTTAGAATTAAACAGGCCGTTTTCATTACTGCGCTTTTAAAACCGATATGTAAATAAGCTCTGTTCTGATTGGCTGCCCTGTATTGTGTCTCAATCACAAAAAACAGTCCAGGCAAAAACACTCCTGAAACACCTCCGAAGTTGCGTCGTCATTCTGTAATCGGTATCATGGCTTGTTCAATGGCTTTGTTCAAAAACCGCTGTTAACATGCCAAACCAGATACATTTTGTCCTGCATACATTCCCTTTAAACATCAACAGATTCTTTGAATAACAAGACCGTAAAAGTGTAAATAAAGAAATATGAATAATGCTATACCGGTGCTAATAACAAGCTATAACACTTGTGCACTGAAATGAGGTCACATGAAAGTAAGTCTCCTATTAAACTTCAACACTTTTAAAAGAACAACACCAGATATTCCTGAAGTACTCTACTACTACAAAGCAACTCAGCTAAGACAATGGACAAAGCTTGCTGTTTGGTTGGGGTATTTTTGGTGAGGTTGCCTGTCTTATGATGTCAAATCTGCGTGCATCACATGTAGCCAAATTCACAGTTTGACACTCTTACAACTTTCAAATTCAGAGGACCCTGTGACAACTAGTGGAAAAATATATGTAAGATAAAACATTTGGTTTGAAACCTTTTTGTTTATCTCATTCATTTTTGTCATAGAGAAAACATGTTTAGACCTGGAGTTCCTAATATGGGCATGACGCCCACTACAGAATGACAGCATGACTTCATTGACCTATACCTTTAGTGTGAATTGGGGGGGCTAAATTTCTATAAGTTAAACAGTCAGATAAATACAAACGTGTTGTATTTTTCACGATGCAAAAACAACGAATTTAAAAAAAAAAGCTTAGTTTACATGTATGGACTGTATATACTAAGGAGTGAATGGGAAGATTTGAAGCAAAAATATATATCAGACTCTCAGAAAATCTGTTTTTCTATAATAATGACCCTTTAAGAAGGACAAAATGTAAAATCAGGCAAGGCATGGGTTCCTGAGGACAAGCATGGACATGTCCAGTGTAAGCTGGTAAACTGTGCAAAATGGGAAATATAAGCAGCAGTAACAGTGGTTATTGAGGTTAAAATATAACTGGTGACAGCTATGGATTGGCCCAACCAGCTGAAAGCCGTCCAAAGGACACAGAAGGCCAATAGCTGGCATCACAGCTACACAGCTTGATGTCAATGTAAAAACTAAACTGACCAATGATCCTTAAGTTCCGCACTGAACGCAGTGCAACAGTGTAAATGAGGGCTTAAGAAATTAGAGTATAAATGAGTATAAATCACAAATTACTTTTGTAATTAAAAAAAAAAACATACACAGAATTAAATAAATGTAATAGAAAACAGTGTTACCCATGCATAATGTTACTTTCAATCAGTGTTCATTGCTTGTTTTAAATAATTTCAATGGGACAGACTATTACACCATGTCACCACCAGGGGCTAAACAGGGGTCCAATTTCATTATTAATCTCCTCCACAGCTGGTGTTCAAGTACATACATTCTGAGTTCTGCTTTGTCTCCTACAACTCTCAATACTGTAACTACATCAGGGCAGGAAATCTTATTTATTTTTTTAACGGGTAAATGTTTGCCCTCACTGACTGAAATTCAGGGGAATTTTATGTACAAATGGCAACTTGTTAAAATGTAAACATGTAATATTAGTACATTTATAATATTATTGTTATTATTTTCATATCATTATTATAGTATTTTTACTTGTGCCTTTTGCCCCTGGATATATAAATTAACCAACAGTAACAGCATCTTGGATTCCATCAACATTTAGGGATTTTCTATATGCAAATTAACTTGCCTCTTATACATTCTCATGAGAACCATGAGACGTCTGACATGCATAAGTTTGTGTTTAGTCCAAAGAAAAAACATAGAAAGATGGCTGCACCTGGCTAAATAAGCCTGTATAACAAAGTGATGCAGAAAAACATCAAACTCACTTTACAATCTACACATAAACATTTGATGTAATAAAACTTTCTGCATTATTTAATTATTTTTGCACCTTAATATTCAAATTTGACAGAAATACCTGTTCCTAGAATTTAATGCATATTTTTGGCATACTAGATAAAAAAGATTTGATGGACATGGCAAATATCAAATGAAGTTGCCAGACTTCACATATAAGTGTGCTCACTTCAGGTGGATAATTTTTTATGCAATTAATTATGATTGAAACGAGCTTGCTGAATAAATACTGTAAATCCGAAAAGGTCATGGGCAAAAACTGAAAGGTGTTCAGTTTTTTTGCCCAGGAACAGGAATAAAACATGAAAGAAGGCTGGTACCACAACTGACAAATGAATCAAACCAAAATTTTATCTTAAATAAAAAAAAAATGCTGATCGCAGAAAGTAAATGAACATAAAGGTGTCTGCCAGCAAAATTTCCTAAGATGTGATGTTAGTCTTGTGACAATACATGAGGTAAAATACTGCTCAACATTAAAGATTTCTCTGTAAACTCATGCCATATTCATCAGAAGTGTTTTTACAAACATGACAAGAGTTTAACTCTCTTGTACAGAGTTGAGGGAAACTCAGCCTTATTTACATGATCTTACGATGTTTCAGTTATTCGCTTGAATATACTTAAAAAGTTAGATTATTAACATTTAACAATTATACAGGTTTAATGAAAAGCTGTTTCTGGCTCAAAGTAGGAAACTCAGAATATTTAACAGTTTAGACATTTCACCCCAGAACAGGACGTTTTAAGTTCTTGACACAAAATTACGATGGAAACCCAAAGTCACAGCCACTACACAGAAAGGCCATCTGACCACTTACGCTCACACAAAGAGGAATCTTTGAGAGTTTTGTGCTGATGCTAGAACGGTCGGCCCTTCTGACAGTGTCTGTGCCCCAGTTTCAGGGAAAAAAACTCTTTGCTGTGGAGACGTGACGTGTTTGAGAGGACCACAGCGCTGGAGGCTCGTCTCAGAGAGAGCGTGAGAGTGACAGACACAGCTGCAGAAGGCCAGCAAGCTCAGACGACTGGTATTCTGTCACACTGGCTGCCTAGCCCTAAATACTTACAAGCACTCTGACCTTACAGCAATTTGATCAAGACTCTTTAGGAAATGTTTCAGTTCAGACCTGTCCCCAGTGACAGTTAACCAAATTACCACATCAACAGTCTCCAGTGAAGGCAAAAAAACTCCACTTTAAAAAAAATCAATTGATTTCTTTCATGCAAACCACAGTATTCATAGAAGACACCAGTATTCCTACACAAACATAACTGAACCTTTAAACATACTGGATGTGTCATTCAACATTAATAGCATGTTCATTGTAACTGATGTCAATGAGATTTTTCTGCATTCTGGTTAAATGCACTCAGTGCTGCAGGCAGATACCATGCCTTAAAAAAGCCTTCTTTGTTACAGCGAACATTTTAGAACATCTTCAGACCACAGCATCAGGATTCAGACAAAAGAGCAGCTACAGAGACAACGGCAATGGATGGTGAAGGTTTATGGACAAATGAAGAATGACAATATTTTATAACCACAACTTTTACTGAACTGTGCCATTACGCTCTTTCATAATGGCAACACCTTTTTCTCTAGCAGTTTTGAGATGGCCCCTCACTGAAGCAAACGCGCAGAGTTGAGAGAGAAAGTTTAAAGGAAAGTAAAAGGGAACTGCACAGACTGAAAAAAAAAATCTGCTTTATTAAAAAATAAAGATGTAAACAAAGTAATTCAGAGTGGTTTGATGTGAGATGCTAAACTCTAGAGAGACTTACCAAGTCAAAATTATTCACAGTGGTGGTAATGGAAACCAGACGTCTGAAGAGTTTAATATGACAGTTTTAGGAAAGTTTGTGTCTAAAAAACTTTTTTAAATCCATTATTAGTGGAGAGATACATGCAAGGCATTGTGAGGCAAAATAGTCCTAAAAAACCTTATTCTTTCAGATTTATCACTATATTTACCATTAACAACATTACATTAAAAAAACTCAAAGAAGTGTAGGTTAAGTTAAGGTTAGTTTATTTGGACAGTAAATACAATGGCTAGATGTGACATTGTGACCCCTGGTTCCAAACACCACCACTGTAAAGTCAAATAAAAGAGCAAAATTCCTAAATGCAAGGGTAAGAGGCGATATTATTTTAAATAATATTTGTTGTGCGTTTAAAATTTTTGCTTAACACTGTGAAAATGTGATATATTACTAGTATTAACACGACAGCACTGCTTAAATAACTGTGGGTCAGTTCAATCGTTCTTCTCCTTTTAGCCAATGAATGCAATAATAATTAGGGTTATTTCCTCATATGTGCTCACTAACAATACAGCTATTGCCTTTTACTAGACTGGAAAAAAACAAAAAGCACCAGGAAAAATTCAAACTACATTATACAGGTCTCATAACTGATGTTACAAGCAATGCCCTCAACCTTTAAAGAACAACAGTGTGTCTTCGGAGTTGGAGTTTTGGTGAGTTTCGTAACGATATGTACACAAAGCTTAGATGCTTACATAAGACGTATTTTCCTAAACGAAGCTGTGGGTTTAGGCATATCTGTACAGCATGTGATCATTTGAGGAAGTGAATATGAAATAGTCTAAGCTGGTCAGATGTGACCGTTTAACTGTTTACCCTACAGACTGCCCGACATGAACATTTTTGGATCAATATTTATATCAATGTTAGGTAAGCAAACCATTCTGGTAATCAATTACATCAGCTGACACAAGTGATGGTCAAAAACTACTCAGACTTCAGTAGTTTTACTTAAACAGTGCTTTACTCCTCATCAGTTTTCAACTGTAAATTATAGCAGTTCAGACTGTGTAAGTGGTGACTGTCAGCTTAGCAGTCTCTATGAACACTGGCATACAGAATTAAACCAATAAATTCACAACAACAATTTTTTCTTCTCATATTGTGTCTGGTACAACATTAAACAAGCCACTAAATATCAGTGCTTTATCACAATCCAATGAACCTGAGGGACCTTATTATCAGTAACCCACCAGGCTCAACCTGGCATTTGGGTAGGAAAAAAAACAGCATACTTTGAGGCCTTTACAGCCAGAGCATGATTTCTTTGTGTGACCTATACAGATGTCAGTAAATACATTTAAACAAGCGTAACTGTGGCATTGTGATTTTTGTGTTATTTTGCGAAAATAAAACATGATTTTTATTCATCTGCTGACATGAACTCACTCAAACCAATCACTGCTGTCTCTGGAGATGTCAACAACCAAGATGATGGATCAGTTGTGTCCCAGCAACTTGAACTTTTTAACAAATAAAAAAATGATACGTTTGTCCTCTGATTCATTACATGTGGTGCTGCATCTCCAAAATTAGCTTAAATTAAGTTATAGAGATCAGAGCTATGTGAAAGAGCTACTAAAGTTTCAGCTTCTGAATGAAGCGGAGAAGTTCTCTGATCTCCTTTCACTTTTGCAGAAGGCAAAGAAGCCCACTGAGTGTCACAGTTTGCCCGTTTTGTAAGGAACAAATGATATCTTTTTGTCAGTTGTTTGTTTGTTGTTGTTTGCTGTTTGTGAAATCTGCAAAAATTCTGTCTAGTTTTGATAAAATCACATCTAAATATTTCTCATTTTTGTATTGTTTATTGACATCACGTTGTGTGTGTAACGGTCTTAACATTTTCTCCTTAGATGAGCATTCATTGTTCATCAACCAATGTACCAGAAAACAGACATAATTAATTTAATTAAACTTGAATTGAAAAAAAACAGCTGCTTTCGATACTAGGCTTTTAAGACTGCTCTGTTCTGATTGGAAACTCTTTTCTGTATTGTGAGAGTTCTCAACATTGAATGACATTATCAGTAAGCATGTCATCATCCAACTTCTCTCCTAATACCAATTCCAATATCTAAATTCAAGGTATCAGTACAATATCAGTGCGTTGTTAAGGCAGTTGTTTTTAAATAGCCTTCAGGGAACCTCAGACAGTACACATTTGTGCTTGACACCAACTCACAATCCAACCCAAAGGGGCTATATGGATCACTGGGGTTCCTGAGAACAACAAAATATCCAGCAAAGGCTAATATAACCTGGTGGAGATGGTCACCAGAATCTGTTTTAGGACTGCACACATTTTAAAATTAAATTGTTCCAGATAGTTTATAATATTCAATCCCATGGGGGGGGGGGAGCAATCCAGTGTATCAAACTAGCATATCACAATAGGCCCACCAATATATTGGTAGCGTCCTTGTTTAGACTCATATGAAAAATAAAAAAAAATCAGGTGGATCTTGCACATGACAGAAAAGAAAACTGATGTGATAGCCAGCCAGTCAAAGACAAAGTGGGGTTTTCCACCTACACTGTCTGATATTGCTGCCTGGTGGAACACCCTGAGCTGTGATTTTTTCTCATTAAGTTAAAGACAAAGAGTAAAAAAAAAATCCCGCCTAAAGCATGATTACCACCATTCTCCACCACCAAGAAGAGTGTTTTCTTTCATGTGGGAGTAAGAGATGCTGGAGGGATGCAGTGGAAAAGATATGAGGACAATTTAAGAGCCCTGTTTGTATGTGGGTGGCTGAGGCAGCGAAGGATTGCCCTGAAATTATGCCGTCATTAGGTGGAATAATGGTCTGCATTAGGACGGTGGATTGAGGGGTTAATGACTAAATTACATCTCATTAATCATGGGCTTTTCTCATGGAGGACTGAATCTACTTTATATAGTTCAGTAGCTTTAGTAAGAGCTACCAATGCACTGTAATGAAAGTCTGTGCGCTCGTGTTGTTAAAATCACGCTACCTCCAAACAGTTTGGTCAAATTGAATGTCATATCAAGTACTAACAAGAAGTCACAGTCATTCAGGCTCATGATGGGGAATTCCATCAATTTCATGAAATGTCTGCATAATTAAATGATTAAGATGCAAACAGTAATTCAGAGGGGTTTGGTGTGAAACGCTTCATTGTAGAGAAACTTGCTAAGTCAGAATTGTTCACAGTGGCACTGATTGGAACCAGAGGTCTGAAGAGTCTCTAGGCCTCTAAAAGCTCCGTCACAAAAAGTTATTAGTTTGTAAGTTTCTCTACAATTAACCATTTCACATCAAAACAATCTGAATGACGTTTATGTGTTTATGATTAAAATATGCTATTAAATTCCCCTTTAAAAAATAAATGAACTCTACTAGGCTTCACCGAGATCTAGTTAGGCTAAAACTGCAACAGGCAAGGATACGGGTGACACTTTAGCTTTGATAGCTTAGCCATAACACTTTGGCTAAATCAGGAGTACCCAAAGCCAGTCCTTAAAGGAACAGTGCGGTAAAAAATCAAATAAATCGATTAACCATACATGCTACACATTTCTTTCTTTAGTTTTGCACTGGAGCTTTGAGGCTAATGTAGCTAACAAAAAAATGTTGTTCTTTCTCTTTTTGTTTGCAACGTACCTGGAAGTCCTGGTCGTCGATGCTGAACCTCTCTCTCAAATTTCGAAAAACCAGAGGGCAATACTCTTTAAATTTAAAATGGCTTGGCATATTCTCCCTGCAAGACAAAAAACAAAGGCAACATTCAAATCAAAAGTAATTCATGTCATTAGGGATGCACAATGTGTTGTTTATCATTTATCATCACAATACTGAGCTGACAGAACGCTGTAGTTTTCACTATGTGCCGTGAGCATCCTGACCTGAACATGTCAGATGTTCTGTGGGTGTTTAATCTTGGTCGAAGCAATGCAGCCACTGTTCAACCATGTCATATCAAGTGGTCACCAGTGTGGTTTTATATTATGCAAGGCATAATCAAACTGTGGCAATATGAGCAATATAAAGTGTAATATAAAATGAAAATATATACAGCCCTCCATGAGAAAAGCCCATGATTAATATATGATACAAGCGACAAATATGTCCTCTTGATGATAATGTCTGATGACGACAATGTTTTATGCATGCAGATAAGTAAGGCTGCATACAAACATAAACACTTACTTGTTAAATAGATGGTTGTCCACCTTGATCTTAGAATAGGCCTTGAAGTCATCAGGCATCAGCATGATGGGGATTTGAACATGGCTCAGCTCATTTATCTGTGAAGACAAAAAAAACAACAGAAACTTAGGTACTGTCACAAATCCAGTCTAAAAAGTGCTGGGACAAAAATAACCCAGTTTGGGTAGCCTGCATCTACACAGCAGGTAAACACTAGACAGAAACAATATTATCAAACCCAGAACCTGGGTGTTCATTTCACCCAGCAAGTTGTGTTTACCATTTGACCTGCATTTTGGCTAATATGTACTGGAACACTGAGTTAATTATAACATGTTAAGGGTTTATTATTCTACTGTCCTATGCAGAAGTTTGAAAACCCATGGTTTAATGGCATGTTTTGTTGATTTTCTGTAAAAATAAGGGAATATATCCTATACAGGCAACACACTTAAATATGATCTAAATATATTTTTGTTTGATTTTTTTCCCCAATATGTTAAATTCAGCAAATAAACAGTAATTGTGTTACAGTAACAGTACAATCAACAAAACATAATTTGACCAGAGGTGCACAAACTTTTGCAAATGTCTGTATTCATGTTTTTTTACACTAATACCTGTGAATAAATTATCAGCAGTACTGCGGAAATGGCCCAATAAAATGACCCAACAGGCTCAAACCTACATTTAATAAAAAAAATAATCCAGCATAATCCAACAAGTTCTCCTTGTGTTTGTATTCATGTCAATCCAACAGGGTACCAGAGCTCTTCAACACATAAATAAGCTGATTGGTTACCGTGTATTGTGTCTTGTTCAGTCTGTACTGAAACACTACTTACAACGTCAGAGTGAATTGGCAGGGCTGGACAGATAGATATAAATGAACACTTTGTTTTGTGACCTCAAAAAATACTCAAAAAGGGCTGTTTTGTAGCTTAGTTCCAATAAACACATTGTATGGACTGAATGATTCATGAAACTAGCAACGTTTACATACATTAAAAAAAACAAAGAAAATTTACATTTTTTATTGCTATGGGCGCTTCAAAACATGCTGTTTTCAATGTGAGTGAACCAAAAAGGGAGAATCTTATCACAACTAGATAATATGTGATCCTAAATAGCTGGAGCATCGTTAATGCCCATACAGTTGACTTGTGGTTATCATAGCCACATTTCCGCTATCTGTCTACTCAGCCTTTGCCACAGTGTAATTTGCAAATCAAAGCCCGGAATCGTTTTCCCTTCATTCCCTCTCTCTCTCTGGATGCCCTGGAGGGACAGGCGCAATGATACAGCGTGAGTGATGAGTCCTGGCTGTCAGAAGGCGATGTCTCTGATAAAACAATGAACCGCTTTAAGACAAGAACCGAAACAATAACTGCGATAGTGACGCAGTTAAAAATCACCCACTCTCATTTAGCACCATAGTGCTCCAATGGAAACACTACCAAGGCGCTGAGCAATAAAATCTTAATGAAGGAGATTATTACGGTGCTGTGGTAATAAAATTTTTGCATGTAAAACTGCGATCAAGAAAAGCACTTTCATTGTATTGGTCGAGGGATTCAGTGACTCACTCGCAGGCTCTTAAAAAAATAATAAGAAACTGCGCTTGGCATCACTGAGCTCCAGTTAGGCTAAAACTCAGGGCACAACATTAATGGCTGCCCAGTTGCCTTGGCAACCAGTTCTAAGCAATCTGTAACCTTTTCGTGCCCTCTGGTCATCCCTGTGGCAACCACTTTTTTTGGCTGCTGTGGTTTGCAACAATAATTAAAAACAACAAAATATGATTCTAGTTCATTTTAACCCTTTAAGATTAATGCAAAAAAGTGCTGCTTAATCCAACCTTCTCCATTAATAATGTAGTGTCTCGTTGCTGTTATGATTTTATTCTGATACGTAAAGAATGTGATCTAACAAAGCTGAGAAAGAACACTGCGTCGCTGAAAACAGTAGGAGCAGCCACCCTAGAGCCTAGTTTTATTAGTACATTTTATAACTGTTTGTTTCTTTCCTTGTTTGGAAGCAGCAGTCCACTTGATGACTGACAAACCTCTCTGCCATTCATATCTGCCTCCATGTTCGTTAAGTAAAAGAAAAACCTCACAGAACAAACTCCTCAGTACAAAGCTACAGTGAGAACGGTGGTGGTAGAAAATTAGTCAGAATTATTAGCATAAGAAATAGTGGAAAGCCATTATTAAGGGAGAATTCCACCCACTTTTCAAAACTTCTGTGTAATTTAGTGCTTCAGATATCCACAGTCATTCAGATTAGTTTGATGTGAAATGGTTCACTTGCAGAGAAACTCACTCAGACATCATGCAGTGTATTCGTAACCTTCTCATGTAATAACTTTCTGTGAGTGAGCTTTTAGAGGAGTTAAACTCCTCAGATATTTGGTGCCTGTCACCACCACTGTGAACAATTCTGACTCTGTAAGTTTCTCTAGAGCAAAGCATTACTTCTTATTCCTTTAATTAATGGGGAACTTCAATACAATCGGTGGTTCCCCTCTACGAGACATATATTGTCTGACTCACGCTATCCTGATCATTTGAAGGGTGGAGCTGTCTTTATTACTGTGCCTTTAGGACTGATATATATATAGAGAGAGGGAGACACAGATAGACAGATATGTGAGTAAATGTGTGTTTTCATGACATCACAAAAACAATTCATTCAAAATGTTACAGAAAAAGAAAGAACATTTTCCATTATATAGGACTGTTAATTTCATGTTCTTCTTAATTGTACAGAACAATGTTAAGATGAGCTTTCTTGGCTTCAGTGTTAGCTTTAGCTGTCTGTTAGCCCAAGTGCTACTGATCCTTCTAGGCAGACTGAGCAGATACACAGATACAGCAACAGTAACTAAGGGAGGTGGGATTTGCTAGAATTTTGGAAACAGTTAAGTCAAAAAGTTAGAAAATGTCAGTTAAAAATAAGAACCATCCTCTTTTCTCAAACAGCACTTTTTATTTTGCTATACTATACTAGGAGGTTGTTAAGGTGTTGCTTGGCCATTACTATGTTATTCCAGGTGGTTACTAAGGTGTTGCTAGGCCACTGCTATGGTTATTCCAGGTGGTTGCTAATACGTGCCAATATGTGTAAGAGTCTATATATATAACGCCTATGAGGGTCAGTGTGAGAGGTGTCCTTACAACTGACTCTTATCAACATTACACCATTCATTTTCTATAGGAAATTATTACAACTAAAGAAGAAAAAAAATGCTAGCCTAAACAAATGTGTTTTTAATGTGGACTAAATCTGCATGCCTTATATTCTCTCACTCATTATTCCAGTGTATAAAGTTCAATTAGCCGATGATGAGTTAGGCGTGTTAAAGTAGGGAAAGCATTAGTGTACAATGTACTGATAGAGCAGTACTGGATTTATTCTTGCCAGTCATAAAATAAGCAAGTGGTGTGGCTCCTCTTGAGGCTTTGCTACTGGCTGGCATGATGCCAAGCAGCCACTAAGCTTTTGCAGGCCCTGTGAGAGCTCAACCCATTGTGGGCTAGCAATAACACCAACATATTTCTATTTTTTGAAAATCTAATTATACCTCAGTTTGTTCTTCACCACCTCCAGCATTTACCTGACACATTCAGCAGCTCTTAACCACACTGTAAGATGCAGTAGCCCTATTGATTCTTTATTTGCAGCTCTTTCTTTGCTGATTCTTTCTTGTTTATTCCGCAGGGCTGAGTCAATATACGATCATTATCACAGTTTTGGACCCTACAATTAAAGAGGACTTTGACCAATGTTTCAAAATTTCAGCATAATTAAACGGTTAAGATGCAAACAAAGTCATTGAGTGAATGTGAAATGCTCGTTCTAGACTAGACTTTAATGCCTCTAAAGATACATCACAGAAAGTTATTACATTACATGAATATGCTACCTTATGCCTGAGACATTTAAGGCACATGTAGGTTCGCTGGTAGTTTTGGATAGTAAACAAAAAGGTTATATTTCTGTTGTGCCTGGTTCCTGTCACCACCACTGCAACTACGTTTTTAAAACTACTCAGAATTACAGAACGCTTTAAATTTAAAAAAATCTATTGATTTTCCCTTTAACTAGTCATTAAAGGTCGCAAGTAATATTCCCATATTTAAGATTCCATGCACTATTCATATAGCATTAACCCCAACTAATGAAATATTTAAAAAGCCACAGAAAATGTGTTGATTGAAATCAGTGATTGTGAATCAAGTTGTAAAATCGGATATTCACAAAATAATTGTACTAAGTGCTGGATATTAGTTAACTAGTTGCTAGTAGCAAATATAGGCCACAGTAGTAAGTTATAAGCTTGGCAACTTAAATAATTCTGGGTGGACCACGCCCTGGTGTTGTCCGAATTGGCTGCCCATACCAGTGTTCTCCTTAATGAAGATTTAGAAGCAAGCTGACAGCATTTTTAAGGATGTATTTTTACAGAAATTTAGACTATTAAGATTACAATTTAGTTCCAGTGTTAGCAACATAAGCCTCATAGCTCCAGTTCTAAATGAAAGAGGCACAATTGTGGTGTTAATTGACCAAACATGTCTTGGCTGATCAATAACTTCTGGGGTAAGAGGAAAATTTGGTAAATTTGATTATTCACCAAACAGTTCCTTTAAAAGCACTAGGTGCCATAACCTTTCTTTTTGTTTTTCCCCCTAATATCCATTGTCACAGTACAGCAAAACCTGCTTGGAGGAGTGTGCTAATAGCCAAATGACCAGGGTTTGATTCAAGGGTGAACTGCATGTTGACCTATTGCTGGAGAGCTTTATCTGCTTCACTTGCTTTTGGTCAAGGAACTTCACTCAGGAAAGCTCAAGAGATGCTGTAACATGGTACCGCCCTCTACTCCACACCACCCCAACCCCTCAAACAGCTGCTCAAAAGGTCCTACCATGGACAAGGAAGGACAGAGAGTTCAAAACATATGACAGATTCTTCAAATAGCACTGCAGCATAAATAACAATGAATACAGACTAGGGGTGTGCACAGGTACTTGAGGACTCAGCTAACCTTTAGAGCTGCCGGTGTTTAAATACTGAAATCACTATTCGGGTA